TCAAAGAACGCCAGCCGGACAAAGTGAGGCTATAAGCAGATAAGCTGCACTTTTGTTCCAAAAATGCGCTAAAAAATATGGAGATGCTAGCTTTACAATAGCACCTCTAAGTTGACCAATCAGGTTGAAACTTAAAATTGTTATGTATTTAAAATAGATTATTGCTGCAATTTTATAACACAGCAAAATTATGTTATTAGTACACATAACTAAATATTATTTGCACGCGGAAGTTAACTGTTAACGAATTAGAATTTGTCATCTTTCCTATTTCCAATTGACTAAATTTGCCAGATTACTTACGTATTCACTGTATAAAAAGTTAGATAACATGTACTAATATAATCAAACTAATAATAATTTGTATAGTTTATCACGGGTTCAATTTTTCTATTTTCTATTTTCGGCGGGGATGGGCGTCGAGTTGGCCCCGCAAATAAAAAATTTTAAAAAAAATAGTTGGGATGTAGCACATTTGCTAATTTTAGTAGCACACACCAGCACACTACTAGCACAAAAAAATTTAATTATCACGGGTTCAATTTTTCTATTTTGGGCGGGGCTGAGCGTCGAGTTGGCCCCGCAAATAAAAAATTAAAAAAAAATAGTTGGGATGTAGCACATTTGCTAATTTTAGTAGTACACACCAGCACACTACTAGCACAACAAAATTTGCTTGTCACGGGTTCAATTTTTTTATTTTAGGCGGGGCTGAGCGTCGAGTTGGCCCCGCACACAAAAAATTTAAAAAAAAATAGTTGGGTAGTAGCACATTTGCTAATTTTAGTAGCACACACCAGCACACTACTAGCACAACAAAATTTAATTATCACGGGTTCAATTTTTCTATTTTAGGCGGGGCTGAGCGTCGAGTTGGCCCCGCAAATAAAAAATTAAAAAAAAATAGTTGGGATGTAGCACATTTGCTAATTTTAGTAGTATACACCAGCACACTACTAGCACAGCAAAATTTGCTTGTCACGGATTCAATTTTTTAATTTTAGGCGGGGCTGAGCGTCGAGTGGCCCCGCACATAAAAAATTAAAAAAAAAATAGTTGGGATGTAGCACATTTGCTAATTTTAGTAGCACACACCAGCACACTACTAGCACAATCAACTAACATATATGTTTTTTTTATTTCTTAAACAGCGGGGCTAACTCGACTGACCTCATTATTTCCTTAAAATGTGACATGTTGGTTCGAGAAAAAGGGGCGTTTGCTATATAAACAAATAAAAATGTGTTTCAGGGATTTCCAACTTCGATGCGAAATGCATTATTAATACTAATAATGTGAGTAATAAATAATAATTACTGTTATACCTTATACATTAATCCATGTTAAAACTGTTATAAATTTATTGTTTGTTAATTGTAAATAAACAAATCACGTAAATTAAATTTACGTTACAATATTGAATTGAGTGGAGAAGAATGAAAATTTTCTTGTTGAAGTTGAACTGGACCTGGTAGCGGAATGACGCCTTTTGGGTTTACAAACTTTATACGTAATGCACGGTGTTGCGCAATCCAATGAACGAGTTGATTGGAAAAGAATTTTGCACACCTAAGCAATTCAATCGCAGTCCTTTAGATGCGTAATCTTTTGACCAAAATAGTCCTTATTTAGTGACTAATCATAACTGTTTTTTTGGATTGCCACGGTAGCTTTATTTTCGATTTGTGAACCTTGCCCAATATTGTGAAACTCCGCACGACTTGAAATCCAACGAATTTAATTTTTATTTAGGCATATGTCAAAGTATCATGTATCATATTACTTACATCTTCTGCCACAACGGTCACGTAATCCTAAAATACGTATCCCAATTTTCTTGCCACCCCATGAAAAATCTTCTGAACACCCCGTAGAACCACGATTCGCGTGCTGGAATTTAATTTTTTCAAAAACTGCCCTCGCAAATCAAAAAAAAAACGTAGCTTGTCGCTCGACGGCTAATCGAATAAATGCCCTTTCTTCTTGGTGCATCCCTACTTGCTTTATAATTTATTCTTTCCCGCCCCAAAATGGCGTTTTATTAATTAAATCGGCCATCTTTAATCATTAGTTCATTTTATTCGTTTAAATCCGCCAATTACACGTATATACCACTATGCAGCTCTGACAAACACTAACTTTCGGGGTATATAAGGATCTAAAATAGTTATGCACACGGACAAACAGACAACCATACAAAAGTGTAAATCTGAAAATCCAAAAAAAATTTCTAAGTTGCACCAAAAAAATAGATTTCGATTTGTAAAAATTTAGTTTGCAATGGGCCACTTTCGACAATTGGTGCGGGTTATAGAATGTCACCATTACCTTCTCTCTAGATAATAAGTCCCGATGAAAACTACAGCTATTTATTAGCATATCCTACTTTTTCAAAAGTCGCCAATAACTGGCGCTATACTACAACACGTAAACAACGGAAATACCTCCACAAAATCACGTACGCAATCGGTAAACTTCTTTACAGTACTAGGTAATAATGTATCGTTCTCACCGTAACAAAGTTCCTCGAAATTTATAAAAACAAAATGTGCACATTTTGTTCTTCAGCTAACTAACATTATCCTCCACTTTGAGTTTGACCCTGGCGTTTCATTTTTTATAGGGGGGAAAGCTTCTCATGAATGTCAGCCATTGATGTTCATGTATTCACTTAATCATCGCCCGCACCCTTTGCCTGACCAGATATTACAATAAACTTTACTAGCTTACGTAAATCTGATTTTTCTCCCAACTTGAAAGAAATGATATTTCCACATAGTCCTCTTATTGCCAGAATTTGCATTTTTATTTGAAAATGTTTGCACTTGAATTTCCTGAAGACAGTCAAGGTGGCAGCCAATCAAGAGGGCCTATTTTAGAAATTTCAGAATTTAACAATTTCTTCAGTCATGGGTGGGATGATTTCTATGATGCTGCTGGCATATCCACTTTGAAATTGTAGAGCGATCCATTCAGTGAGGAAGTCTTTGGCTCTTGAGGTCCCCTGAAGAGTGTGTAAGCATTTTTTCAATTGTTTGCGCGATTGACTTGAAAGCATCATCGAAAGATCCAAGAGTATAAACTGCAAAAGCGGTGCAGTCATCTACTGGTATTTCTTTTTTTCTGCTAAGTTGGCCGTGCTCCTAGCTTCTTTAATGGACGAATCCAGTGCTAGAGTATCGATTGAAGTCGAGTCCCAGACTAGACTCTTTTTCTTCCACGGAATCAAGGTTACTCCGTCAGGTTTCTTTGTCGTTCTCTCGGAGTAATCTCGCAAGTTCAGAAATAGAGGCGAAACAGGCAGTATTAAGTGACCGCATTATTGAATTATTGAGGGCCGAATATCGACTGTATCTTCCTGCACTTATTGGGCAGAACAGACCATACATACTCGAAAAGTCTACTTCAAATCCGCACTTACTCGTGTGGAGTTTACATAGGAAGTTCAATCGTTACGCGGAAATCTTTTGCATTCACATGACGTTCATTCCCATCGGCAGGTTTGATTGTAAATTGTCTATTTTCATATAGGGTTCCCCAAGGGACCTTAAAAGTTTGTATAAATGGGCACCGGCGATGCTGGTTTTTGAGCTCGTGTCAACACAGGTCGATCCATAAAATTAGATTGGTAACATAGGTTGCTCTTGTTCCGCACCGGAAGAAAACAAGGATGAAAAATTCACCAGTCCGCATGGGCAAGGAAGATGGCGTTTGGCCGCTAGGTGGGGCAGTTGCTCCGAATCATTCGTCGAGGAACTTGTGGTCCTACTTGGCGCATGAGTTTCTGGGGATAATTCAAACGGCCCTGGACCATTGGCCACGTTACGGCAGTCCGCTTTTGTATGGCAATATTCACATTTTGACTGGTTTGTCGGTAGGTGTCGCTTTCCGAGTGGGGGTGGCGGAAGATTCAGGTTTGAGGAGAAAATGTTCTTTGATGGAAGATATCACAACAGAACAACTGAAAAAAAAACAAAATGCAGCTTGCAGTTTATTAGTTGGCCATGATGTTACAAACTTTCAAATATTCTACATCAGACTTAGATTAGATTTCAAAATATTTCAGCTTAAAAGATTGCAAATCTCAAAAATCTTGGGGCTAAAAGTTTAATATTAAGAGGTCTATTCTATCAGATATCATCGTTAACAAACGATATCGTCATGGTAACGATTTGATCTTGAATGCCAGCTTTATTCTGTATCACTGTTAGTGTTTGTTTACAATGAACGTATACGTAAATATTTCATAAACCGTAACTCGTACATATTCGCATCGTTTCCGTAAATTTACTTCGCTTTTTACAATAAACCAAAGATCATACTACATAGTAGTCGACATTTTTAAGTATTATCATTGAATAAAAACACTATAAGAAGCCTAACCCCGTGGAAATAAAGCGCGACAGAGCTTGAACTGAGAATATAATGGGAACACTGTCAATAGAGTCGATTCTTGAACTGAGAAGAATGAGAATTTGCTTTCCTCCTATTTACCGCAAAGAGAGTGTTTTTATTCAATGGTATTATGTATTTCTTATGTATACGTTTATTGTAAACAAGCACTAAGTGTAAATCTGTGTTACATTATGGTTCAGTGGTAGAGCGTTGGACTATAAATCTGGAGGTCGGGTGTTCGAACCTGGGTTGAGGTGAATTTTTCATCTGTGGCAGAGATGGGAATTACCTTAGACCAGTTTCGAGCATTCTGCCGGCTACTCCGAATTAGGTTTTCCTGCAGTTCCCTAATTCGTAAGGTAAATACCGGAGTAGTATAGAACAACTTAAGACCTTCTGCAGAGGCACCTTTAAAAAGCATTATGCGGGTCACTCTGTAATTGGGCGCAAGGCTGTTGAGGGCCCACAGAACAAGAGAGGGATAATAATAAATAAATAAATACATATCTAAAATCCATGGTTTTCAAAACTCCTAGTTAAATTGTGGATGTATCCATTTTGTTTTTCTTTCGATTATTAAAAACTAACGTTACATTTCGTTACAGGTTTCCGAGGCCAAAACTGCGAGGAAAACGTCGACGACTGTCCCGGCAATCAGTGTCAAAACGGTGCGACGTGCCTGGACAGAATCAACAGCTATCAGTGCCAGTGCCCATCAACTTACACGGGACGTTACTGTGAACACGACGTCGACGAGTGCTCGCTAAGGCCGTCGGTGTGCCAAAACGGTGCTACGTGTACGAATAGTGTGGGAGGTTTTTCGTGTATATGCGTTAACGGATGGACGGGACCCGATTGTTCTGTAAATATTGACGATTGTGCGGGCGCCGCATGTTTTAATGGGGCTACCTGCATCGATAGAGTTGGAAGCTTTTACTGCCGTTGTACTCCTGGAAAGACTGGTAAGTAAAGTTACCTTTCCCCGGGCGTGTGAAATTGAATGTATGATACCGTGACCTGCAGGTTTCCAACTACATGCATACGACTACACCTCTATCTGTTCCTGGTTTATAAATATCCTCGCAACAATACTACGAGTATGTTTTATTGACGTATGACATACACAACATTTATTCGATTACCGATTTATTGTTACATCAATGCGCGCCATTATGAAACACACTCGCTTCTTTGTCACGCCGCCTCTATACAGTGGAACCGAATTTCCGTTCGTGTGCTTTAAAATTAATCAAAAACAGTGTGAGCATAAGGTGCGGCCTCTCCAATTCTTTTAAATGCAAGTAGTAACCGTGGAAAGAGGAATTGAGAAACCAATAGTAATTATTAGTTCATTGCATCTGAAAGGACTAAACACGATTTAGAAGTTTACATGAGTTTATTGATATAAGTATTCCCTAAGTATTTGCTTAAAATTACAGTAATTTACAAAAGAGTAAATTACTTGCATTAAGTTGGTAATCAATAATTATAAATAAGTGTATTTAATCTGCGTTCAGTCGTGGTCACCTTTATGCCCATTTCTGTGCTTCGCATGTTTATAATAACTTGTAATTAAATCAATCTATACAGTAACCGAAAAAAGTACCTACAGACATTTTAGTGGGCCTAAAAGTGGGTCAATTGTGCAAATCTAAATATTGTCGCTCGAGGTAGGTAAGGGCGATCCAGAAAGTAACAGACGTTTTGAAAGAAAAAATTAAGTAAGTGTAAGAAACAACTTTTATTATACAGGGTGGTAATTTGAAAACTTACTACCCCCCATGTCTTAGTACCTAAATAAACCAGATATTTAAAAAAAATCAAAATCCGTTTCGGTATTTCGGAGGGGGAATCACAATGACATAGTTGGCGACCCCCCCCCCCCCCCTGCGCCCCAGCCACCCCAACTTTTAAATCTTAAATAGTGACATTCTTGAATTATTCTCTGTCTTAGTTCGTCTATGTTCGCCGGTTGCGTTTCAAATGCGACAGATTTCAAATGTATCATATTAGTTTATTTTTTGATTTGCACGATAATTACTAACCTAAATGTAATGCTATTTGGTATGGTTGGAAAGCATTTTTTCAGAGCTTTCCAACGACGTATCATACATGGGGGGTCACTGTTTAAGATTTAAAAGTTGAGGTGGCTGGGGCGCAGGGGGTTGGAGGGCGTGCGTCGCCAACTATGTCATTGTGATTCCCCCTCCGAATTACCGAAATGGATTTTGATTTTTTAAAATATCTCGTTTATTTACTAAGACATGAGGGGTGGTAAGTTTTCAAATTGCCACCCTGTATACATTTGGAAGCTACACTCTTAGGCTATTTTTCAACATAATCGCCATTCATATTGAGGCACTTATCATAGCTTAGTGTTTTGATTTCAACTTTGTATACATCCGCCGCCTGAGACTGGACCTGGTTATCGCCGGCTTGAAGTTCGGCATCACTGTCCATGTGCTGTGTTCAGGGCGAGGTCTTCATCGGAAGCGGTGGAAGTCGCTTGGCGCTAGATCCGAGCTGTATGGAGGGTGATCCTTTCTCCCATCCAAAATCATCCAAGAGCTGTTCAGTACGGTTGACTGTGTACGGGCGGACGTTGTCGTCGGAGTACAAAACTTCCACCTCTTCCCAGCGTTGAAGACCTCGCAGCAGATCGATAGAGACGCCGAACTTTATGTCAGCGTTACCCAGTGCAGGTTAAAATCTCAGGCGGCGGATTGATAAAAGTTGGATTCAAAACACTTGTGCCAGGCTGTGATAAGTGCCTCAATTTGAATGGCGCTTGTGTTGATAAATAGTCTAAGAGTGTAGCTCCCAAATGTATATAATAAGAGATTTTCTTTCCAAGTTTAAAATTTTTTATTTCAAAACGTCTGCTACTTTCTGGACAACCATCGTATATCTAAAAAATTAAATTAAAACCATTATTCTGCAAAGCGGTAACGGATTACATTTTTTTCCACCTAATGGGCAAATGGACCAAGACTTGATTTCTTCTTTTATAGACATATAAAAAATTATAAATTATATATTATTTATTTATGTATTTATTATCCTTCTCTTGTTCTGGGCCCTCAGCAGGTTTGCGATCAATTATAGAGTGACCCGCATAATGCTTAAGAAGGTCTTAAGTTGTTCTATATACTACTCCGATATTTACCTTACGAATTAGGGAAACTGCAGGAGAACCTAATTCGGAGTAGCCGGCAGAATACTCGAAACTGATCTAAGGAAATTCCCATCTCTGTCACCGATGAAAAATTCTTACCTCAGCCCAGATTCGAACACCCGACCTCCGGCTTTATAGTCCAACGCTCGGCCATTGAATTACAAAGTCGGTCGGTTTATACAGGCTGTTTCCCGCAGACCGTTACCTAAAAGTATTCAGAGTTCCAATAATTTAAATCTGAAAATTTTCTTGCCAACATATGTGTTTCATGATCTATCGAAAGAAAACATTATCATGGATAGCAACTTTCTTATTAAATAGAACAGTCTGTGTCTTACTGCATTTTCTAAATCTACATGAAAATCTTCGTCGTTTGATACCACATTTCCATATACCTAGCATCAAAGTTTTTCAAGTAATTCAGGTTTTTTTTTAAATTTTTGGCTTTTGACTGCTTTTCTTTAGGGCCCTGTACCTATGACTCCGTTGACTTGAATTTCAAGAAATCTTCCACTTGACTTGACGCTACTTGACAATGATTTAAATTTTGATCGCCATTCTACAGGGTGTTTTAAAACTAATGGTCAATTTTAATAACTTCAAACATTGCTTCAAACCTTAAATAGTTGATTTTTTCAAATGAAACCTGCTGTATTTTTTTGCACTTTTAAATGTAGAAAAAGATTCTACATCGCTCAATTATTACATTCCCTATACCTACCTATCTGTTACGCTTTCAGATTTATTTAACATTTTTTAAAATTGTGACCGTTATGCGTAATTCTCTTAGGGGGCCTTGAAATGAACATGAAAAGGGGATGATTGTTTTGAAAACATTTGAAATCCATTCAGTTTTTCTAAAAAAAAGTGTGAGAACTCTGAAGAATTTAAACAATATGAAAAATCCAAAGAGAAGAAATAATTGCAGATTTTGAGGAAACGCAAGAGAGCAATGCTAATGTTTTAAGCTATTTATATAAATTTGATAAAGTCAAAAAGTTTGAGGAATTTTCAGAAATGTGGAGAATTTGAACAATTTGAAAATTCGAATGCCAATTTCCATTACGGTTGCTGGTCGGTCAGTAATCTATCGCAGTTAAGTAGTGTGTTTTAATGTAGAAATTGTAGACATTTTAAATTCCCACAAAAAAGTCGCGATAGCATCGATTTACAGGGCGAGAAAATATTATTGAATAAGTTGAAGGATGACAGAAAAATGTACCTATATAGGTTAAGGAGCTAATTAACCATAAGCCGTTCAAAATAGACATACGCCATCACGGACCCTTAAGTTGTCCACTGAATATGTTCTTGAAGAATTTGAAAAGGTCGAAAAATATTAATCTGAGGAATATGAAGATCTTAAGGAATCGGAAAAATTCAAGGCGAAGGATTTGAGGAACATAAGAAAAAATCAAAGAATTAGACAGACGAATGCAAAGAATATTAAGATTGAAAATTGAATCACTGGCACAATTTAATTTGCCCCACAGCTGACATCTTTTATAAGACACCTGGCTCGTTGGCTGAGGTCCTTGCTGATCGATGGACCAGACCTCTATCTATAGTAATGGGTTGGCTACGTGCTAGAATAAGCATAGCTATAATCAGAGCCACCATCATGTGTATCCGTGGTATCCGCCACAAATGGAAACGTACGCCTATGAAAATGGAGCCGCCCTCCCCAATTTCCCATAATAATCCACATTTATATTTACATTTATTTTTTTAAGTTATTTTTATATTGTCACATTTAAAAAATATATTGGGATGCAAATGAAAAAAAGAAAAAAATTTAGAGTACGAAAAATTTTATTACTTTCACAAACCTGAATTTCAATTTGAAGAACTCGTAATTTGAAAGATGTGAAGATTCTGAAGAAGCCAAAACAATTGAAGAGCCCCTTAATTGAGAGAATCCAAAGATATGGAATGTGGAAAATCCTATGGACCCTAAGAATTTGATGAATGTGATACCTCGAAAAAATTCGAAAGAACTGAAGAACCTAAAGATACAGATCAGAAGATTAGAAAGGATTCGAAGTAAAAAATCTTCAGGGTATAAAGATTGGGGAGTGATTTCGAAAAATCTAAAGAATCCGAAGAAACTTAAGAAAATAAAAGAATGAAAGATGAGAAGAATTGAGTAGTCGAAAAATTCGAAACATCGCAAGAAAACTCTATAATAAGAACAACCTGAGGAATCGGAAGAATTTGTATATTTTAAAGAACTCGAAAATCTGCAGAAACTGAAACTGAAGCCAACGAATTTCAAGAATCACAATGAATCCAGAGCAGTTCAAAGACTTTTTTTTGGTCAAAATTCCATCAAATATCGACGTTTTAAACTCTTAGGCAACTTTTAAAGAATAAAATATTGTTCCGTCATGCGTACGTACGTTGGGAATTTTCCCAAGTAACGCCCCGACAGATTTTGTAAAATTTTAGATATGTACATTAGGCATACGGAAACGAAAAATAACGGGTCGGATTTAAAGAAAAATAAAACCTGGAGCGCCGAACGGCATCGGTCCTTTTTTTTCAAAATAGCAGCAAGATTTTTATTAAACTATACGAAATACTTTCTTTTTCTATGTAGGTATAACCTGGGTTTGAGTAATCGTTATGAGAAAAGATTTATACCTTCTCCATATATTCTTTAATATTATCAAAATTTAACATTTACAACATGTTTCGACATAACCATGTCATCATCAGGTAACTGAAATCGTAAAGTAAAATCAAGCAATAAAATATCACAAAATACTTACAAGAACTAGTTATCACAAATAGGTTAAATTTAACTAAGACAATCAAATTTCAAAAGTTATAATCTCGGTTATAATAGGTCAACAGATCCGGTGTACGAGGCAGAAGGCTTCGTCGGAATGGTAACGTGAAACGGTGTCACTAAAAACAAACACTAATATAAAGTAAAGCACAAACTGACCAAAACTTACAAAAGTAAAGGAAAAAAATGAGCCGGTTTGGAGCTGGGTTTGAGCTAGGAAACTGTTCTGTAAAGAATTTGGCACCTAGTTTTATTTAGTTACAGTACTGTTCAGAAGAGCAATTTTTGTGAACTGTATGATTACATATCTAAGGGTCCTATGGGGTATGTAGCAAAAGTCCGAACTCGATACATGACCTAGGTAATGAAATATATCGACGTATGGACTCGTGTTTATGACACGTACCGCAATTTAACGACATAAAGACATGATCGTGTGATTGGTGTGTTTGGTAAAATTCGTGTAGATATTTACTCATATTTATTTCTAGGTTTATTATGTCACTTGGACGATGCCTGTACAAGCAATCCATGCCACTTGGACGCTATTTGTGATACAAGCCCTATTAATGGTTCCTATACATGCAGTTGTGCTTCCGGTTACAAAGGGGTCGATTGCTCAGAAGATATTGACGAATGCGAACAAGGTAAGTGCGCCTTATCATCTTCGTCCATTTTAAGTATTCCTCTATAATCAAATTGCATGTCAATATTATTGCAAATTTCTATTCTTCCTAGTTTTTCATACTTTCCTCATTTATTTTTAAACACATTCGACCACGTGCAGTGATTCAGGAGTAATTATGTAAACAAGTTTGTCATAAAGCTGTAGCCAATATTGAATGAAGATGCACAAATACCCCTTTCTTTTACTGCACGTTTCAACAATGACATCCTCTGTAAATTAAAATAAGTAAATAAAAATGGTAGCCAACATTGAAAACTCTCAATGATTAAAAGTATAACATTTATGCCGATTTTAAGTAAATTCTATTTTTTCCAAAAAAAAACATTAAGCGTATTATTTATTTTTATGCACGACCCAAGAATGTTTTTTTCCGAACAGACAAAACTGGTAGTGCAAATGTAACACAATAACACATGTTTATATGACCATTGCAACCTATATCCATGTTATATACTACATCAGGGATCTGGAAGAACAACAATTCAGAAAAACAATCAGAGTGTTCCTTGGTGCCAAAGCATTCTATAGCATCGATGAGTACTTGAACTACAAGTTTGATGGCTCCGAATAATAAAGTGGCAATTGTGCTTCCCTATACTGTGACGTGTGGAAATATTTTCTGTATAAACCCCACCAATAAATATTATTATTATTATTATTATTATGGGTAGACACATATTTGGCACGAATTTTTTTGTTTAAGTATAGATTAACTGTACACTAGTATACTATTGGTACTTTGTCCTGTAATTGGACGATAAGCCTGTAGGGCAATAAATAAATAAATAAATAAAAAGCACTATAGATTTCTTAGTTTATCATCACATTGGCGTTTATCAGTTTTTCATTTGAGTATTTATTCATTATAGCAAACCGGTGATATTCCCATGTTCTCTAACTGTAATTTGATTGTACGCGAGTGCGTATATATTTTATTATACTTCAACTGAAATTGAAATCTGATAATTACTGCTTTTATGGGAACTTTAAAATAGTATAAATGGAATTTTTATTTTTCTTATAATTTATACCGCATAAAAGATGTTTAAATTCCATATAACCGTCATTTCTATATTGAATGTATTATAAATTAATGGCAGTTTATCTCTCAGGCCCCTGGTGTATTAACCTTTTAATTCCATCGGAAATATGGTCAAGATATCATTATGAATATAGTTTTTAATTCTGAGTGATGATACATCCTACTGTTCCTAATGAAAAAATCGTATGAAATATGGCGTTGTCCGTGTAAGAAAAGGTCGAGAGTCAAGGAGCGCGTTACATGGGAGAATTTATAACTACATTATTAGGAAATGTTTGAAAAAGAAAACCATTTTTAAACTAAACATAATCTGCTGAAGCATTTTCTAAATAAGTACTTTCGCCCACGGTCGGCTATTGTAAAGACCTCGTACATTTTCTGTCCAGTTTAACTAAAATGGGCAATTCTCATGTCCTGTACAATTACGCTAATTAATTATTAATTCTCTACATTAATAATGTTTTCCTAATATATCAAAAACTTGTTCCCGACTCTGCGACTCGATATAACGTGGATTTTTCAGTAAAGTTACGCTCGGTTTTAGTTCATCAACCACGACCGCAACTATGCATATTAATGTCATTAATTTAACTACTGGAAAGTCAACTTTGCTAGATTATTTTCAAAGAGTTCGATATCCTTTATAAACTCAGATAGATTTGCCCATGTTAAAGCAGGTGCTCGAAATTTCGATTTATAAGATAAGTATACTAACCTTCTTGTAAATATGTCGAAAATCACTTTAATAAAGATGTAGTGTTTTAGTTTTCTTCCGGCTTTCTATATGAATCTTAATTTGTTTTTTCTTCAGATATCTATATCCTCTTGAATGAACATTTGCGGTTGTATAACTGTACTTTTTTTAAGTTGATATCAATGCGAGTCCTTTGGTTTCATTTGTGGTTATATTCATAACATAACCTCCTTGGGTTGTTATTTTTTTTAAATCAAACTGAAATCTTAGACCGATCTGCGATTGTGTGTGGTTAGTGGAAATTATAATGGAATAGTGTAGGTGTTTGGTTAGCGTAGGTTTGATTGTATACATTAGAACTTCGTGCTAAAAATATACAGGGTGAACCATTAGAGCGTGGGTGGAAAATTGTGGGTGTAGTAACGCACATATTTAAATTTCATTGTCGGGGCATGATAAAGGACTCTTAAGGCTACAAATATTTTCAACGAAATTGCAATTGTTATACACGGTGATTTATATCAGAGTTGTATTTTTTAAATAGAACCCCTTGTACATTATTACTTATTTCAATTCCTTGGTCAAATTTAGTGTGACCCCCACCTCCCACGAAATTCTTGATTCGGGCGTTCTTTGACGTTTACAGCAAAATGAGGTGGAACAACATCGTGCTGAAATCAAATTCCATCTACGATATGCACTGGATCGTTTTGAAGAAGAGCAAAAACTTGAGTACCTATATACTTAACAAGTAATTATGCAAACATAAATGACGAGAGCGTATTTTTCTCCTAATAATATTAATGTTAGGACCGGGAAAAAATGCCGGTAGGCACGAGATCCTTACCCCATTCTCTTTCAAATGAGCCGCCTTTCGTCGAAGTCTATACAGATCATTGAAAAATATAAAAAAGTGTCTACATATGATATTTTATTTAAATGCTGTCATAAATAAGAAAGTTGGCATTGCGCATGCGTAAAATCAAATTCTAAAACGCTGTTAGTTTTATTTTTATTCTAAGTGCCCAAGTGCCTATGTAGGTATTAAATTTCATTTAAATGCTTTCACAAATGAGGAAGTTGGCATTGCGCATGCGCAAAACTGATGTTACCTACTTCATTTTATTTTGTTTTAATATTTTCTAATATGGCTTTTCATGGCTTACTGTTCAAATTGATTTATTTAAGCTCACGCGTTGGTTTAAATGCAAAATTCATTATTTTATCTTTCAAACAAGCTATGAAAAACATGAAAGAGTTTTTGTTTTGTTTTGCTTTATAATTTGAATTGTTGTTTATAATTTTTAACAGCCTACTAATTAGTCAGAGGCTTTGAAAATCGAAAAACTATGAATTGTGAGAAATTGTTAAATTACAAAAAATAAGTGAAACGTAAATATCGGCATGCTTATATCGTTTCAATTGACAATTATCTATTTGATTTTCCCGGGGGAAATTTAATAACAATTGTCAATTTCAAAATGACCCTATTTTCTTAGTTAAAGGAGATATCAAAAAATGTTTTTGTATTACAAAGGTTTGTTTATAATTTTTGTTGAATAATCTGCCGTTCTTAAAATAAGTATACGGGGTTAGTAAAAAAAGTTATCGACCTGACCTCATTTTTTGAATGGAACATCCTGCGTACTGTAATCTAAAAAGAGAGCACATTCAATTCTTTTTTCAAAAATACCGGAGAAGGAATTCAAAAAAGATTTATGTGATTCAAAGAAATTCACAGATTGAAAAATATTGATTTAAAAAATGAAAAAAATGATTTAAATTCGAAAAATTTTTCATTTCTTAAAATGTTATTGCTTCTCTGTCCACTCCCCTATTCTGTAATATCAATAATTTAGTTCCAAACAATGCTGTATTCGATCATTGTTTGTTAATCAGGGCCCACAAAAAATTTGAAAAAATGCTCTAGTTGTCAGTAGGCATACAAAAATAAAATCAATCGAATGTGATGGTATTACTCTTCGGAAGAAAACAAATAATTATACATAATTACTTTTTTATCGTAATTGTTTAGTATATTGTTATTGTCTATATATTTTTTCTTGTTATCAATAGTAGTAGTAGTAGCAGCAGAGTATACTATTGGTTATTTATTTCGATTTGTTGTTATTTTCAGGATCGCCTTGTGAGCACGATGGTACCTGCGTCAATACACCTGGTAGTTTTGCATGCAATTGCACACGAGGTTTTACCGGGCCACGCTGCGAGACAAACGTAAATGAATGCGAATCTCATCCTTGCCACAATGACGGGTCTTGCCTGGACGATCCCGGTACATTCAGATGCGTGTGCATGCCCGGTAAGTAAATTGGACACTAAAAAACAAAACATCATTACTATTTGTTTAATACTGTTCTGTAAGAAAGGGTTGGTTAATTATTTAATTACACAAATTGAACATGGGAGAAACCGTGATATGAACATCGCAATTAATGAGGAAGTTCGTACACTTGGCAAGCGATGTGGAAGATTGGTTAATTTACTTTAATTGATATAAATGTCCTGCCGCTTCGAGTTAATTACGACATACAACCAAATCGATTATCTCATACTCCCCTTTTAAACGTACATTTTGATTGCAGAAATTATAGTTTTAAAATAGGGTAATGTTTCGATATTTAAAGTACGAAGAATTAACGAAGTCATAAATTGTAGCAATACTTTTATGAGTTTATTGTCCCTTTAATTATAAATGCTGTTTTTTACAGATATTCTTTGAATGTTGTGTCCAATTAGTTATCTTCGTTTGCACCTGAAATACGTCGTAAATTGTTTGGTTATATACGATGTAACTTATCGTTGCTATAGCATCGTAAATGCATAATCAAATGTAGATAATAACAAAATATAAATTTAATATATATAATTCATTCAACTACATTTTCCTTTTGTGGAATTCGTTTCTTTGGAGTGATACGATAGTACGATTTTACATTGGGAAGTGTCCAAACAGAAATAACCTTCCTCAATAGTCAATTCAATTTTTATTCATAAAGCGATCGCAATACTTACATTTTAAGCACTGTTTTACCAAATCTGAGAACGGTTTGCTGATAGACCTAATTTTGAAAAGTTGTGGAAGTAATAGTTAGTTTGTGTTGATTTTTTAAACTGACTCGCAATAAGAACAAATTTTTGCCTAACTTTCGGGGCGTCTCAGTGTCCTGCGATTGTTACTTCAGAAGGAATGCGCGATCAAACAACACAAAAAGATTTGTGAATAAAGGTTTAGTTAACTTTGCTTATCAGTCATTTCACGTTAACATTCTCAAATTATTCTTTATATCGAGGATTTTTCAAATTTTATTTTTACTATTTTGCCTTTATTTTTGAGTGGGCGGGGTTTCAGCCAAGGCTGCTGTACCAACCCAACCCACTATACATTTACCGAGACATTTACAAATATCCCCCGGATTCGAACCAGGGACCATTAACACCACAGTCCAGCTTTAACTGAACTGCGCCACACAGGCCGGATATACCTATTCTCGAGAACGGTCTCTATCGTTTCCTTTTTGAGAATGGTTCGTCGCTACCCTTATTCTAGCTATATTTCCGGATTTCTTATGAGTATGATCCACATAATTAGCTGACTTAGTCAATGTTGGTAGTGAAAAACTCCGTCCTTGCAAAATCAAAAGTTTATATTTATTAAACTTGCGGAAAAAACGCCAGGGAGTTCCTCGGCAACCTAATAAACACTACTTACATTTCTATAAATGATTTTCTATCTATGTATGGAACTGACTCGACATAAATTGCGGTTAACATCTGGAGAAAGTGTAAAAGTTAACGTTTTACATCAGAATAAATAACCGGTAATAGAATCAAGTGTTCGCAATTTTTCACCAGTTTATTACCCGTCGAATGCAGGGCCCTTTACGCGGTTGTCCATTGTGAGTAGAAAACTGTCGATTGTTACACTGAAAACTTGGTCGAGTGTGAAATAAAAACGTTTCATAACGGAGATATGAAAATACAATAAATACCGAATTCGGAAGCTTTATTACGGTTTTTGAATTTCTTGGCCGTGTAGATTTGAAATCGGGGCGTTTCTAACCATGTTCGTAAAGTTTATAAGTCTCGATGGGAATGGGGCCAATTACAACGCGAAGAGTTCTGAGAAAACTAGTTCGCTATCGAGCGAAATTTTATGCATATATAAATAATTTAATTAACCTCACACTATTGTTTATACCTAATGTGTAATTAAAATTAGACTTTTACATACACGCTGATTGCCGAACGTTTCCATAAGCCTTATTGTGTAAATCGCTAATCTTTTATAATTATGTCATTTTTTTTTAAACGAGCGAGCGGAAGGTGTTTGGAAACGGCGTTTTCCTGAGGGAAGCGCATAATAATTAAGCAAAAGTTGTGTTCCCATAAATTATTTCAGCCGCTTCAGATTTGATCCATTTTTGACGAAATAATTTTTACGAACACGTACGTAGAAGAGCAGAAGTACAAGTATGAAGGTATGTGACCCGCCCAAGACTGTTAAAGTTGCAAGGGTCAATATGTGTGGATGTGGGCTAATGACAGCTTACCGTTTCAAGTTCTTTTATAAAGGATGAGTTACCGGTCTCTGATTCAGAGAACAGAAATGAACAATTATTGTAAGCAGGTGTGTCTCAGTTTTTTTTTTATATTCGGTAGGTCTATTGGGTTGGGAATATGTTAACTTTTTTTTATATCTGTAAATGCTTTTTTTGTGCTATTAAAAAAACCTATTATAACTACCAGTTTAATGTTAGTAAGTATATGTTCAAATAGAGTAGGTATGTCGCACTTTTATATAGTCGATGCATCCTCTCAGATGAATAAACAAGATAATTTCCGGATAGATAAAGAATAGCGCAACATTCTTTTTTAAATAATTTTATGATGCGATTTCCTAGACTTCCAATCGTTTATGGGCATCTGAAAGAATTTACTGCGATTTCTACAGTAATGCGTGTAGATACGCCGGATGTCTGGAATCATAGGAACATACTAATTTTATAGTGCAGATAATTGTGGCGACATCAACTTTGTGCGAGAAACTCGCCTAGGGGTTTATTCTCAGGAGATAGTCATTGGACTAGAAAGCAAAAACAATATAGCAAACATCGCTACAGCGTGGATGTTATGAGCACAACGTTATCTTAGGCATTAGGCAATCGAGGCCATACTTTCTATATCTACAGTATGTCCAAGATAAGAATGTATCGCATGGGAAAATCGGAAACCATAATAGATAATTGTCAATTACCTACATTAGAAAAAAGTTGCGTATTTTAGGACTTTTTAAAAATGAGGTATTCATTAAAATTCCGATCAGTTCCCAAGATATTCGAAAAAAAACGAAGTTAATCATATTCGTTTTTTTATCCCTGTTTGAAAAGATATCAAAAAACAAATAACACCTCCTTATAGGAACAGTTTAAGCTCTATAAGGGGGTGTCCGCAATTTTCAGTGCGACGTTTCGCCTTTGAGAAACCATCATCAACTTCATATTTTTATATGGAAATAGTTATTTGTACAACTAGTTTTGAAAGTGATACTTTTTTTCATGAATTTGCAGTTTGATTAATGAGGGCGGTACACGAAGTTTTTTTGTATAGTGACACAAAATTTTAGTCGTAATAAAACTCAATACAGTAGGTAGTTTTTTCCGATCCATATAAAAATATGTAGTTGATGAAGGTTTCTCAAAGACGAAACGTCACAGTGAAAATCTGGGGGTACCATCTTGTAGAGCTTAAAAAGTTCCTATAAGGAGGCGTTGATTGTTTTTAATATCTTTCCAAACAAGGCCAGAAATAAATAAAAACGAATATGGTTAATTCCGTTTTTTTCGAATATCTTAGGAACTGATCGGAATTTCCTAGTGTTTGAAACTTTATTTTACTAAGCCCTACAGTACGCACATTTTTTTAAAAATTTAACCGAATGTGTATCTCTTATGGTTTCCGATTTCCTTATACTGTATATTCTTATCTTCGACACACTGTATACACAGCGCTTTCATGATTAAAGGAACAGATTCATTTACTGGTGGACACTTCTATTAGTTTTTTTTTTGTAGGTGGGGATTTTCAATAGGAAGTATGATGTCGCAATTAATTTTTTGAATGCAACACTGTATATTATGGTAATTTAATGCAAAAACAGCTCAAACCATAATACTCCTCGGCGTGTTCTAAGACATTTGTGAACTGGAATTGTAAATGAATTTGTTTCTTTCATTACCAAAGCACTGCAGAATCCCTCGCAGAATCCTCGGCAGAATCAATACGCAAGAAATAGATGTCATGGGTGAATGAAGTAACACTCCTCTACACTCTTTACCACCTCATTTTATAAAGGGTTTCCATTCGAAGAAATATTACTTGGTATAACCGAACTTTGTCGATTTTGAATTTATCTTTTTCTGATGTTATTTATTGTTATAGTTTTTTTGTGTATCTGCAATCTGCTATCTCTTCAGCACTTTTGCTAGTAGTACTGATTCACACAAATCCAATTTTGGTATCGTTGGCTTGGTGATTAACTGAACTGGTGATTAATATCGAGACTTGCACCTCAATATTATTTAGTGTAAACAGGGGTGGTACACAGTCTCATGCACCAAGTTTCTAGACTTAGAAGCCCTCCAGGAAAACCAAGATATGTATTTCGAAAACTATCAGAAATAGGTATCAAACATTTTTACCAAAAGTTGAAGATTTTTGAAGGAAGGAGAAGATGACAGGTTCCATTTAACAAATTGCGATTTTTCAATTTTTTTATATGAAGTTTTGTAACTTTGGACCTACAAGGAAAACACCCTGTAAATTTATGTTTAATTGTATGAGGTAATATTTATATATTAACCATAAGTATAATAAAAAAAGTCGTGCAATTACACGTAAAATTTTAAAAAATGCATTTAAATATAAGGGATTCCATTACAAAAAATTTTACGTTTTTAGCGTTCTACTTTGTCAACTCCCCCTGTATAATTCAAAATATTTTTCAATGTGGAGAATATTTAACCATTTAACGATTTCTCTATCGAAAAATCTTATCTTCAAGCATTAAGTTACTCCGCGCAATCGTTGACTCACCCTGTACTATGATCTTCAAAGAAGAAAATCTCTGCCTAGTAGGTACCAGAATTGTAATAATAATTTTGTTAATCTAAGATTTTATCGGCGAGTGTTGCAAGCGTGGCATTTTTAATTAGAAAAATACCTCTTGATTTTCGTAAAAGGGAGCGGGGGGGGGGCTGCACATAAAAATATTGCAGATGACCCCAATGGTAAGCCACATATAAAACAGATCGAATTAGGCATGACTCATGCGGAGAACAATCTAGCTAGAACCATTGCGTTCCCGGCTTAATGCGCCACAATGGCACCGCCATGTTAGAATAAAATACAATTCTTACAGAACTGAAATACTTTGTCGGATTAGTAAAGATGATTTCGTGATGTTTGCTCCAATTATAATGTGTTACATTAATTTTCAGGCTTCACCGGCACTCAATGCGAGATAGACATTGACGAATGTAAAGATAGGCCATGCTTAAACGGAGGTACCTGCCACGATCTCATCAACTCTTTCAAATGTACGTGTGCTATCGGATTTGCTGGTGCTCGCTGCCAAGTGAACATAGACGATTGCATTTCGAACCCATGTCGCAACGGTGGCATTTGTCACGATTCTATTGCCGGATATACCTGCGAATGTCCTCCCGGTTTTACAGGTCTGTATTCATCATCTCATTCACCATGTACTAATTGTTGTTTAGGCGCATCATGCGAAATAAATATCAACGACTGTGCATCATCTCCTTGTCACCATGGGGAATGTCTCGATGGCGAAAACACCTTTACTTGCACCTGTCATCCGGGATATACGGGATTTTTGTGTCAATCTCAGATCAATGAGTGCGAGTCGAATCCATGTCAGTTTGGAGGAATCTGCCAAGATTTAGTCAACGGTTATCAATGTCTTTGCAAAGCCGGAACTTCGGGCCTAAATTGCGAAATTAACGTTAATGAGTGTTACAGCAATCCTTGTAGAAACAATGCGCGATGCATCGATGGGATCAACAGGTAATTTTAGTGTTTGCTTTATTTGCTAATAAAATACTTCAAAAAGGTTACCTTAACATGATTGATACGACACGTCATTAAGAACTGTGTTGGCCTTTTATTATGTAACTCTTCAATTTTGGTATTAATGAGTATTTGTGATTGATGGCTTTGTACAGACATGCTAATGATCCGAACTTATTAATCCACTTTCCTTCAGAAGTGAATTAAAAAGGTTATGAAGATCAGTAATGAATTTTTAATATGACACCATATTCTAATTCTCAATCTACTTCTTGTCAGTTTAATCACATTGTGCATAGATACAGAAAAAAATTAAATTAAAGATAATAATTAGAGAAACGGAGCACATCAACAGTAAAAAATTGCCTATGACTATTATAGTTACAGTTCCTGGTTTGTTATGTGTCTACATGAGTCTGGCAGAAGATTGTAGAGAATCGCTAAACCTTTTTGTTCGAAATACAATGCAGTTTCTATGAGTCTTATTTCTGAGTTTTGGGTAATCCAGTTTTTGAGTGTCTGAATTGGAGTGATTTAAGTTGGAGGGTTGGTTTTACCTGAAACTCATTTTCGAATGTCGTTTATTATTGCTACTAAACATGCTATTTGCCTTATTTTTCATGCTTACAGAAACAAAGTCGTTCTTGCGTAAGTTCCTTTAATCATTGTTAATTGTTATTATGTTAGAAGTGAATCTGTGAGGTCTATCGTAGAACCACATGCTAGATCAAAATTTCTTCAGTCCGTGTAAAAAATGAGTCGGAATGTTATTGTGACTTATTTAGGAAGCGCTTAGCGCGTTATTATAAGAGATAGTAAAAAAACTTTAAATACAAAAGTTGGGGGGTTTATCATAAATTGCTAGAAAATGTAAAGTAAAAAGACGCATATCGAAGTTAGTAAAAAATGCAAATTTGGTAAATTTTTAATGTTTAATGCCCTGTATATTTTTCAAATTTTGAATATATTATTTCTTTCTGATTTCAAAAATATATATGTTGACATTTGCTTTTTTGAAATATTTGCATTTTTTTATTTTTATAAATTTTGATTAATTTTGTTTATTCAAGATAAATATTAAAAAATTCGTTAATAAGCCGCTTGTGAGCAAGAGCAAGATGCACTTTCAAATTTGTTTTTTCGATGTTAATAGCCCTTGTGGACCAGTAAGTGATGTAGTTACGGAGCCTTTGTGACTCAGACAGAGCGCAAAAGTGCACTTTTTATTTTTTGAAAGTGAAAGTGCACTAAAAAATTTAAAGTTAGTCTAGGTTATTTCCAGGGTAAAAATAAGTTCAATGAAATCCAAAAATAATGAAGAAATCTTATTCAAAAAAATTATCCATATTTGGAACACAATGTGTTTATACTATTAGGAATTTCTTTTAATTCAAATAGAGAGATTAAGAAAATAAGAAGTACTTTCCTTGCAATTTTGTCATTATTTTCTTTAATCTCTCTATTCGAATTAAAAGAAATTCCTAATAATATAAACACAGTGTGTTCCAAATATGGCTAATTTTTTTGAGTGAGTCAATTGTGATAGGGAATTACAACCTTACATATGTAAAGGAATAAAGATATAGCATGTGAATTCTACGATTGCCATCTAATTTACTTTACTAATTATCCTACATTATTTTATTAATTTGTGTTAATTTTCCATGTAGTTTAATGCATGGTTTGATTTTTTTAATAATGATACGAACATGTCTTGACTCTGATATGCTATTTCCAGATACACCTGCGAATGTATACCCGGCTTCACAGGACAACATTGCGAAACAGATATAAATGAGTGCGCTTCAAATCCTTGCGCCAACGGTGGCGTATGCATTGATTTAATTAATGGCTTTCGTTGTGAGTGTCCACGCGGTTACTACGATGCAAGATGCCTAAGTGATGTCGACGAGTGTAAATCGAATCCTTGTAAGCACGGAGGAAGTTGTGAGGACGGGGTCAATCAGTTTATATGTCATTGTTTAGCGGGTAATATACGGAAATAATTTGTTAATATTGTCAATTAATATTCACCATTTAAGGTTATGGAGGCAAACAATGTGAAAATGATATTGATGAGTGTGCCTCGAACCCTTGTCAGCACGGAGGAGTTTGTCACGATCATCTGGCGTCGTACACATGCGAATGTCTGGCCGGCTACAGTGGGGTCAACTGTGAGACAAATATCGACGATTGCGCTATTAACCCATGTAAAAATGGAGGATCGTGTATTGATCAAGTGAACGATTATAAATGTGCCTGCGAACTTCCATACACTGGTCGAAATTGTCATGAAAAGTTAGATCCCTGCTCTCCTAATCGATGCAGACACAATGCGCGGTGCACTCCCAGTTCTAATTACTTGGATTTTGCCTGTTCCTGCAGTGTTGGATATACTGGTCGACTTTGTGAACAAGACGTCGATGAATGTGAAGTTTCGCAACCATGCAGAAACGGAGCCACTTGTCGTAACACCAATGGATCATACCAGTGCATATGTGCGAGAGGCTATGAAGGGCGTGATTGTACCGTAAATACTGATGATTGTGCTTCATGTGAGTATCCAAAAAAAAAATCATTCCGGTGCATGTCATTTGTTACAATTTTAGATCCTTGTCAAAATGGTGGTACCTGTTTGGACGATATCGGTGATTACATGTGCTTGTGTGTTAATGGTTTCGAAGGTAAACACTGCGATGTCGATATTGACGAATGTCTCTCAAATCCTTGCCTAAATGGCGCCACATGTAATCAGTATGTCGATTCCTACACGTGCACCTGTCCTCTCGGATTCTCTGGAATCAATTGCCAAACCAATGACGAAGACTGTACGGAAAGTAGTTGTATGAATGGTGGAACTTGTAATGATGGGATCAACTCGTACACTTGCACCTGCAAACCTGGGTAAGCTTCATATTATTTTTAAGTGAGTTTGGCTGTGTTTGTTGAGCAATTATGGTCATAAAGACACCTAAATTGAAAAAAAAAAATTAAATACTCCTGAGATATCAAGCTTGGTTTAAATAATCTGCGCTTTCTTTGGATTGAAGCGTCTGGTGAGTTAGATCCAAATAAATGTAACCAATATAACTATTTATGATTCTCACAAAAACTTTATTTTACAGAAATCGTACTGTAGTGTTCTATCATGCAGGCAAATCTGTTTTATTTAATTTGATAAACAAGCAAATTTATTTCCTACATAGTTTACATATTACATATGAATTTCCTTTTTAATTTCGTCCTTATCAAGTCACGAAAGTAATTCACTACACAAAGTACCTATCTGGAAAGGTGTATGACATCAGAGCCGTCCTTGGCAAATGCGAGGCCTGGAGCAAAATATTTTTGCGGGGGCCTTTTTTAAAATGAATGCCCGGTGTGGGGGGGGGGGTTATGGAATACACTCGGAGGAAGGGGGTCCTCCACCGAAAATTTTTGCAAAATTATACATGCAAAGTCGTCATTTTAAGCACTTTGAATGACTGTCACGCGGCGGAAGGGAGAGGAGGAGATCATGCAAGATGACTCACTCACCGGCGAGCACGAGGCTTTGCTCACGACTACTGACTATCTCGTATGAATGAGAATTTTGTTCGTAGGTTTTTTAATTACCTAATCAATAATAGTTGAACATATTGCGCGGGTAATCAGATAGATATTTTATATATTATATTATACACGGTTCTACGCTAACTTCACACTACAAGAACACGGAAATAAAGTCAACCCGGCAACGTTTAAAAATAGCCACCCGAATGACTATTCTTTCTAAAACTAAACAAGATCCCGCTTAAATTTGAAAAGTGGCACGTGATCAAACATCTAAGGCAGGGCCTCCTTACGTTAGTTGTAAACAACGCTATGATCTGAAGTACAGTAGGAAAGGAACGTAAAATAAAACACTCAAATTGTGAAAAGTTTGTTTAATAATGATCGTAATTATTATGACTGTAAAAGCTCGGAAATTTAAGTCCAAAATAAATTACATTGCAAAAATAAACTTTGAAAATGGTAGTTCACCGAATCAAAATAGAAATAGGCTGGGAAAAAAAGAACTTACCAATAAAAAAAACCAGCCGTCAAATTAATATCAAATTGTGTTGTAAAATTTATTGTTTGTAGATGTGAATGTGTAACATAAAATTATAACATCACAAAAAGTAGCATGTAGACTTCAAGAGGTAACAAATAGGTTAAAAACAAGTTTTGGGAATTATGGGTCAAGTAAACAGGTACCAAGATTCTAAGAAAGGGTGAAATACACAGGATGTGACTCATCTTTGGTGCAATAAAGTCCTTTTGTTAAAAGCAAGATGGAAAATTACATGGCATTGTCGGCAAATTTAACTAAAAACCAGATATGTGGAAATTATAGAATCGCCACTCATTTATCGCACATAGATTCTAAACTGAAGAGCTTTTATTAGCGTAATCCCGCCTCTGGTTCCGGGGTTTCGAAGATATGCACGGAATTAGGTACCCTAACTCAATTTTGACTACAGTTTTTACCACCCCCGTGACTGCTTCACTCACAGAGAAAAATGTTAATAACAAACGACAAGTCAGTACATACATCAAAGGAATCGGTAATTTCCACATATTAAAATAAAATTATCAAAACTTATATGAATGTAACTTCAGGGACAAGACCAAGTAATCAACATCAATAAACATAAATTAAGCAAGCATTACACCAAAAACGTAAACAATTACAAACAAAAGGATAACGGTATTAAACATGTCATTCTGCATTGCGGTTAAACCAAGTAAATTTCAAAAACAAAGATTGAAACACACAGAAAATATAAAATGCGGCATACAAAACACAAATACGATATAAAGAAATGCTTAAATTACTACCTGCATTAAATAACACAAAATAACAACAAACATGTATGGAGCGACGCGTGCACGACCGCCATTCAAGCGAAGATGCCAAATGTAACCCACGTTCGTGCTTTTCTAGATGGCGCAGGCAGCTTTTCCCCACCTAGAAATTGCATGGTTGCCAACTCTCAAAAATGTATGTATCATCGTAAGTTGTATATACAGCGTGGAACCTCTAATCATAATGAATGTTCAAAATGTTCACCATTAACTGCAAGGCAGTGGCATAACCTATCACAAAAAATTTGAAATAAAAATTAATTTCTTTTACACGGGTGCTGTGTTATGTCATTGAAAAGAGAAAAAAAATTTCTATCAAATGAGCTAATGAAAGTGTGTATTGCTACTTTAAAAAAAATCAATTATTTTTGGTTATTCATTTGTTTTCTGAAATAAAAACAATGGAATGCTACCTTATTATGGGAAATAAATTGTTAAACAACTTTCATATAGAAAAATCTTAACCGAGATATATACTATATCCTATTAATGGGCATCCTGTATATTTATATATTAAAATATTATTATATTATTTTCATTCAACCAAAACTTATATTTATTTTTTAACGAGAGTAAGGTCAGGAGCGCGAGGCCTGGAGCGGCTGCTCCACCCTATGGACGGCACTGTATGACATATGTGCCTTATTTATCTTTTATCGAAAAACGTTGCACCCATAGCATACGTTTGGGTATGCCAGCTATACAATGAGTTTTTACCTTCTTAAAGTAAATAAAGGAAAGCCTCCTTTATAAATTGAGAGTTATAGATGTGTCAAATGTTATTTGATTCGTAATGAAAATATGTAACCATTTTATATTAGGACATTTAAGGGCACAAACTGTTCTCTCTTTCTGAGTTAAATGGTAGAACAGTATTGAATATTATTTTGAACTAAACTTTGCCCATTTATTTGATGTAAATAAAATCCTTTATTATCCATCACGTTGTTATCCAAAATCGGTCAAAAACGTTTTATGCACCAATTTTATTGAGAAAAAAACTATTGCATGATGTACAAGAAATGATCCATAATATGCATTTTTGGTAACCAAAATATTTTACCCAAAAGATGTCAAAACCACTATTTATGCAATAATTTTCTTGGATAAAGGCGAGGAAAAGGTCAGTTTTTTTTGCGCAACGAATTATGGACCGTAGTGCTTGTGTCTTTATTATTACGTCCGTCTGCCAGTCCAACCACGCTCAGAATATAAACGTATCGTTTGCCTATGTAAGTGTGTTCCGCTGGCAATACCCACGTATAGTAGTGGTTTTGATTAACTTAAGCGAGTCTGAAACTTAAACTTGTAAACTTTAATCAGCACATGCTATCGCAAAGCATCGCCCTAATGGAGCTATATTTTAGGATTTAAATAAAATTAAAATCTTTTATTTCCTAACAACTTTAACAACAGGATGAAAAGTAAGTATTGTGGACAACTTTTTCCAAACAATTCATCAATGGTTCTGTCTTTTGCGACATGTATGATGTTAGAAAATAACGCACAAAAATTAGAAAAATATTACCATATGCTTGACTAGCTTATGTATTGGACTAAATTTAGATACCTTTAAATAACAAAACGTCAAAAATGAACAAACAGCAATGAGTAGGTGGTTAATAAGACACAAAAACACACTACATATGATTTGTTTCCTTACAACTATTGGTATTACGTGAGAAATAATTCTTAATTTTGTGAAATATGAATCACATGAGAGTTTTTTCGCCTGTATTTGATTAAAGTTGTAAGAAAGAGAAAAAAATAAGCTTTCTGACATATCACAGACCTATATTGCCATTTAAAAAATTCAAGATGGCGGTCGCGCTCACAAACTGTGCCAAAAAAAGTTGTTTTTACCTCAAAATATGTGAAATAATTTCTAATTATTTATTAATACAAAGGTTGATTTTGATTAAAAACCGTGCTATCATAGTAAATGTCTGTGATATCGAATTGCAGAATACCTAGTACTGGAACAACGCAGGGTGCAGTTAGAGCCATATCACACAAAAAAGACCTACATCAAGTTGTTCAATGTTTCGTTTTTATGATACATACAATCTCTCCCATTTAATGAAACAGGCACTGTGCATCCTGACAGCACATGGCATGCTCGATTTCATAAATTTTCTACAAATCACGAATTTCTCCATTTTTTTGTATATCAACCATATGCATATTTTATGTTGTCATATAGCAAATTGATTGCTCTTTTGAAATATTGTAAAAGAACAAAGGGCATTGCATTTGAAAAACACAAGATGCATCGATTTTTCGTTACACCGGAAGTGATACCGGAAGTCTGAATTTGCTATCAGATAGACAGTAATGTCACATATAAAATTATATTTGACAAATTTTTCGTATATCGCCAAATAAATGAGATATTGAGGTATAACAGCTTATGGGTTCCAAATATGCAACTATCAAAAATTAATTTTGGCATTCATTACACTGTTGCTAAAAATTGGTCAAACTCGTTATTTAGTTACCAATTATGTTGGGAAAAACACTAAACTCTATTCTATGATGCCCAAGAAGTAGCATTTTTTGTAATCAAAATATACCAATGCTTGATGACATGTATTTTTAGAGACTAACATATTTTTGATATTTTTGGTAAAAAATTGTCAAAATCGTTACTTATGTACAGATTTTTGTGGGAAAAAGACTTCAGGTTCAGATAGGTGTCTCTTTTATTTTATACGGGGAGGTAAAAATACAGATTACTAATCAGAAATAAGGTGTATACATGCATAATCTTTATTGTTCCACAAACAGACGATGATGTGTAAAGAATGAAAATTTGGAAGATGGAAAGTGCTTGCTTGCTTAATTTTTAATAGCAGCACATCTGGCACCCATAAGTTTCTATATATCGAAAACTTGAAGTTGATACAAGGTCTTGGGACTGAGTATAGTGCGGAACGACGGACGGAAAAGTGAGGACATAACTTTCGTGGGTTGCTCTAAAACTCACTGTATAGCTGGTGCTCACAAACGTATGCTACAGTGCTACGTTTTTCGATATCGAGATAAGGACAAAACTAAAAAGCAAGGATTATGAATATTTTCAAATCCTCTGTTTCTGTTTCAAAATAAATAGGTTGCAATCACAGGCAGGTATAATAAAACAGCTACAAGATAGGGACATATGTAAGATAGGTAAACCGTGTCAATTAGGAAATAAATAAAATAGATTTCTCTGTATGATGAAATACTGCGGTATGTGTACTGATTGGTTTTTGTAAAATAAAGTTTAGATGAGAATCTTAAATAATGATATTGGTTACTTTTAGTTTGGATTTAACTCACCAAACGCTTTAATCCAAAGAAAGCGAAACCTATATCATATCTAAGCATGATATATCTGGAGTGTTTAAATCTGTGATCACGCCTTGCTATGTTACTGTAGTACCTATTAGATTCTAACTAAAAGTTTATTTCAGGTACAGAGTAAAGTCTGTACCACAATGAATTGATTCAATTAAAATTCTTACTTATTTGTTCTTTCTTTGTACAGCTACACCGGTTCAAATTGTCAAAATCGCATTAACTTGTGCGACAGCTCTCCATGTCTTAACGGCGCCAACTGTCAGGATCATATCTCCCATTACACTTGCCACTGTCCCTATGGCTATGCGGGAAAGGATTGCGCCGAATACGTCGACTGGTGCATAACGAATCCTTGCGAAAATGGAGCTACCTGCAGGCAAATCAAAAATCAATATCAGTGCCTTTGCGCGCCCGGTTGGACCGGGAAGGTGTGCGATGTCGAAATGGTCAGCTGTAAAGATGCGGCGTTACGAAAAGGTTTGTCCACGCCCTTTTTTTTGTTTGTGTTTCCTAATTGTTCAACATGTCTAGGTGTTGCTCCCAAATTACTTTGTAACAATGGCACTTGCGAAGACATTGGTAATTCTCATCGTTGCCACTGCCTCGAGGGTTACGCCGGGTCGTACTGTCAAAAAGAAATAAACGAATGCGAATCTGCTCCTTGTCAAAATGGCGCGACTTGTAAAGATCTAATCGGCGCATACGCGTGCCACTGCACCAAGGGTTTTCAAGGTCAAAATTGTGAGTTGAACGTTGACGATTGTAAGCCGAATCCTTGCCAGAATGGGGGAACCTGTCACGATTTGGTCGACAGTTTCCAATGTTCCTGCCCGCCTGGAACTTTGGGTTACATTTGTGAAATCAATATTGACGATTGCCGACCGGGTGCTTGCCACAATAACGGCACTTGCATGGATAGAGTTGGAGGATTCGAGTGTAAGTGTCCGGCCGGATTTGTCGGTCCTAGGTGTGAAGGTGACATTAACGAGTGCCTATCCAACCCTTGCGCTACACCCGGAACTTTGGATTGTGTACAACTCATCAATGATTATCACTGCAACTGTAAAGCTGGATACATGGGAAGGCATTGCGAGGTGAAGGTTAATTTTTGCGCAAACTCTCCATGTCAAAATGGTGGTGTTTGCACGGCGGTACACGCACGACATCGATGTACGTGCCCGGATGGTTTCTACGGTAAAAATTGCGAGTTTAGTGGTTACGATTGTGATTCAGACCCTTGTCAGAATGGCGGACTGTGTCGAATTTCGGATGGTGGGGGTTATGTTTGTGAATGTCTCGAAGGAACCACCGGTACAAATTGTGAAATTGATTCTTTGAACGAATGTAATAGCAATCCCTGTCGACATCCTGACGCAATTTGCCAGGATAAGTTAGGCGACTACGCATGTTACTGCCCGCCGAAACATACAGGCAAGAATTGCGAAATTTACGATCGTAATTCCCCAGGAGGTTTGGGAACCATTGTCGTTTCGCGAAAGGATGTCAATACATTTTATGCGAAAGATTTGGAATTGCAAAGAAAACAATGTGTGAAGAACAACTGCTCGTCAAAGCGAGGTAATTTCAGATGTGACGAAGAATGTAACACGTATGCTTGTGATTTTGATGGGAACGACTGTTCGTTGGGTATAAATCCGTGGGTAAATTGCACTGCACCAATTAAATGCTGGGAGGTTTTTATGGACGGGAATTGTGATAAGGAGTGCAACAACCCACAGTGTTTATTTGACGGGCGCGATTGCGAAAAATCACTGCAACCTTGTAATCCAGTTTACGACGCCTATTGTCAAAAACATTACGCAAACGGCCACTGCGATTACGGGTGTAATAACGCTGAATGTAATTGGGACGGATTAGATTGTGATCGAAAACCACCAGAAATAGCTGAGGGAATTATCGTTATGATTGTGCTAATGGATATGCAGGCATTCAAACAGAATTTGGTCGCTTTCTTGAGGGACACCAGTTATCAGTTACGGACGACGGTGCGAGTGAAAAAAGATCAGCTTGGAAATGACATGATTTATCCCTGGACGGGAACGTCGACAACAAATCTTCAAGATACTTATTATGGCCAAAAACACAGTGTGATATTTTCAGAACAGTACGGAAATGCTGGGGTTAAAGTTTACTTGGAAATCGACAACCGAAAATGTACCTCTTTATCTGATTCAGATTACTGCTTCCAATCTGCAAATGCAGCTGCCGAGTTTCTGGCGGCTAAAGCTTCTAGACACACACTTTCCCAGTCATTCCCAATCTATAAAGTCACTGGTGTTAATGCTCCTATAGAAGATGGTGGAGAAACTCCCACGAACGCCAAGTATGTGATAATAGGAATTTTGCTAATGTTCTTAGTGGGCGCGGTCATTGGAGTTATTGTCACCACTCAAAGAAAACGCGCATCTGGAATTACATGGTTTCCAGAAGGCTTCCTCAGAACTAACTCCGGGACAAGACGAAGGTCGCGTCGCCGAGGACCAGATGGTCAAGAAATGCGCGATCTGAATAAAAACCCATCCATAGCATGTATGGATCTTGACTTAAATTCGCACGGCGGACATATGGGACATGCCCAACAGTGGTCGGATGATGAATCTGATATGCACCAACCGAAACGCATGCGCGTGTTAGAAGCAGGATACGCGAGCGATCATACTGCAATTACCGACTATGAGGAGGCGGAGCCACGAACTTGGGGCCAGCAGCATTTGGAGGCGGCCGATCTAAGACCCCCAGCTTCTATGCTAACACCTCCTCAAAATACCGACATTAGCGACATAAACGCCAGAGGTCCTTGTGGAATGACGCCAATTATGGTGGCAGCTGTACGCGGTGGAGGTATTGATACTGGAGAAGACGAGGAAGATGATACAGCAGGAAACGTTATACAAGATCTTGTAGCTCAAGGCGCCGAGCTCAACGCCACCATGGATAAAACCGGCGAAACGTCCTTACATTTGGCCGCACGATACGCCAGAGCAGATGCTGCAAAACGACTGTTGGACGCTGGTGCGGACGCGAATGCTCAAGATAACACTGGTCGTACCCCTCTACATGCCGCGGTTGCCGCCGATGCCGTTGGAGTTTTCCAAATTCTCCTTCGGAATCGAGCTACTAACCTTAATGCACGCATGCACGAAGGTACCACACCTCTAATTCTTGCTGCCCGATTAGCTATAGAGGGTATGGTACAAGATCTAATTAGCGCAGAAGCAGACATAAATGCCGCGGACAATTCGGGTAAAACGGCGCTGCACTGGGCGGCCGCAGTAAACAATGTAGAAGCGGTTAATATTCTTCTCGCACATGGTGCTAATAGGGACGCTCAAGACGATAAGGTAGTACGAGAAATGAAACTTTGCATGTGGTTATCCTAACATTGTTCTTTTCTAGGACGAAACTCCACTCTTCTTAGCTGCCAGGGAAGGCTCTTACCAAGCGTGTAAAGCACTTTTGGAAGCATACGCAAATAGGGAAATAACGGATCATATGGATAGATTACCGAGAGATGTCGCTAGTGAACGGTTGCATCACGATATTGTTAGGCTTCTCGAGGAGCACATTCCTAGAAGTCCCCAGATGGTTAATGTGGTTCAAAGCAATTCGATGCTAAGTAAGTTGTTTTTTATTTTATTATTTACGACTCCAAAATTGCTATAGTGGGGAATGTAGGGAACTGACGATCATCTGGTAGTTACTAGGTTTACAGTTTGTTCTGATTAACCATGTGCCACTGCCCACTCCACTCATGTCAGCAGTTTCAGATCTATAATCACAAGGTGGATGATGTCTCAAAGATCTCTCTACCTGTGATCTATATCTTTAAAGGGTCTAGTGGATTTACTTGGAGGCTTGTTTCTTGGATGTGCCTTCATTAGATCTGTTATGACCGGATTTCATGCTCTTATGCATTACATAAATATTGTATGCAGTTCAAAATAAGGCAATAATTTACACAAAAATGAATCATCAGATTAGCTGTATTCATTTCAAGTGATTTAACTAAGTTAAATCAGTTGAAGTGATTGCACTTTGTTTTTTTCGTTTACAATCAGTTCCCCCCACTACGGACCAAGTGAACAGAAATCACTATTATCTGATTGCGGGAAAAGTTGGTACAGTTAAATCACTTCAATTAACATAACCTCAGAAAACTGGATACATAACCTCCCAGGCTGTTTGTTTATTTTTTATCGGACATTTAAGAACTGTTTATGGGTAGTGTACCTGTCGAATGCCACCTGAATCAGTTTCCTATACAACTAAAGTTCATACTTTTTCGTTCAACGTGTCACATATTTAATAATACTAATAATAATGCTTATTTACGGAAAAATTTCATTGTACAAAGTTAGACATTAAATATTAACAAGAATTCTTTTAATATGAATTCTAAATGAATAGAATGAGCAAGATTTAAACAATATTACCACTAAAAAACTATAATAAACCAATCCATTTCTTTTTAGGTTATGTTAAGTAATAACAAACACCAAACTGTCAGAAGTCGTGTTTTCTTCAAGTGATTTAACTGACTGATTTTAGTGAAACTGATTGTGATTTATAAATCACCAGAAACGAATACGCCTATCAGCGCAAAGCAAATAGTGCCTATTTTGCATTTTTGGGGTTTTTGTGCATATTTAAGATAGATTAGCATTTTATTAATTTTTTGACCCATTTTTTTTTACAAAACAAGTTTCCAGTGGTACTAATTGCAACAATCATATTTTTATTTTTAAATTATAAACAAATAATACATCAAATAAAACAAAAATTATAAGATAGAAACAGAACAAAAGAAAACAATAAAAATAGAAAAAAATAAAAAGAAAAAAAACCAAAAGAAAAAAGGAATAAAAAATAAATGATCTCGTAAATGATATACAAAAAAAATATGGCGCCCAAGTTTGTTAAATTATAAAACGGCAGCGGTGTTCAATTAGCATTAATTTATAATGCAAGCAGATTTTCAAGTTCAACAAGTGAGATGACGAATGTTGCCTGGGGAAAATGTTGAACATTTAAATGTAGAATCTTGTCTGATACCTCAACTAAAGTACGCTCCAATTACTCGTTTCGATACGGAAAGATGCTTCTCTGTGTATAACCATGTACTAAGTAACAGGCGCACAAATTTTAAGATGGATCACTTGGAACAATACTTAATCATTGTTTTAAAATACAGCTTATGTTTAAAAAGGTCGAATTAAAAAAGTTGGAATAATTTTTTGTGCATTATTTAATTTTTCATGCATATCTTCATGCTTTTTTGCCATATTTTTTGTGCATATATGTATACAGGCGTTTTTTTTCATTTTAAGCATTAGGATCTTGGAAACCGTAAGACATAGAGATTCGGTTAAATGAGGAAAGAGTTGTAGTTTTAAGAGCATATTCAAGATATGCTTTTGTTTTTTTAAAAAAATCCACAGTTTACTAGATATGAGCGAAAAACATATTTAGTGATTTTTCATTTAACTGTTGTAGGATGGTTAGTATTAATTTTCGAGTTATTATTAGCAAACATACATTTTTTTAATGGGAATCATAGTTGGCTGTGACATTTTTAAATAGTGCATTTTTTTCTGTTTACAATGATATAAGGTTCATTGTACTTACTTCGACAGATAAACATGATACAGACCTGTTTGTATTATTAAGAGTAGTAAAAACAGATTTTGCCATGGGAAACATTTTTGTTCATTTAATTACTGTCTATTATAATATTTAACTTGCAGTTAGTTGTGCGGCGGAGCACCGTTATGTTAAAACCAGAGTAAATTACGTCGTGTTTCCAAATCTAACCCATCCTACATATCTTGAAATTCATTTGGTAGAAAATGAAGATAACATTGGCCTGTCCAATTTTCGTCGTAAATGAAAGGTACCTATCTTACTAGATATTGTTTTCCATGGCCAACTCTGTTTGCTTACCTCTCAATAATACGAAAATTACTGCAGGGCGTTTATTTATTAAAGTACATTTAGCAAGCCTGATATCGTTATAAAGAGAAAAATTTGTCCTTTTTAAAAATGTCAAAGCCAACTATGACTACCATTTAAAAAAATTAAAGTTTGTATTATAACTCAAAAATTGTAAGATCTAAAAATAAATTAGTATGTTCATCATGTTGAACATTAAAATGTCTAAAACTTTTATTCGTGTCATTTTATTGTATTTCTGATAATAACGATTCTACAACAGTTATATGAAAAATCACTAAATCTGTTTTTCGCTCATATCTAGTGAACTGTGGATTTTTTCAAAACACAAAAGCATATCTTAAATAAGCTCTTAAAACGACAACTCTTTCCTCCTTTAACCGAATCCATATGTCTTGTGGTTTCCGAGATCCCAGTGCTTAAAATGAAAAAAAACTCACCCTGTATGTGCATTTTTGACGTGTTTTCATATGCATATAAGTCCGGTCCCTAGTTATGAGGTATGGCATTCCTATTGAACGTCAGTAGATCTTTGGTCCTTATTGATAATAAATTGTATTTTCTAAGGTTCATTAGTCATTAACCAACTAGTTCAGAGCTGAAAAAATTAAAGGCTTGATATCACTGAACTATAATTATACTGGAACGCGCGATCCGGGAGAGAGGGCGACAAGGGGGATTGCTGTCCTACTCTCGCGCATGCTTATTTGATATGTTTTGAATTTATATTAATGACAGTGACAGAAATCTCGCTTGCAATATCTCTCTCGGTGCGTCCAGTGTAATTATAGTTCAGTGCTTGAGATCTCTCACAACGGTTGATTCGTTTAGGCTATATATTCTTTGGTATGATCACCGACTAAAGTAATGATAATCGGAAGCTTACGCCACTTACTATAATGCATAAAATCTGGTTTTACCCAATTTTGGTAATTATACCTACTGTAGCGTTTATATCAAGGCAGTGACGAAAAAACGCTGAAGTAAAGACGACATGCAGTCCATCCCACCCGAGTCACCGCCGTAAACCTTATCTTCAACGTTGCCATTTTAGATAGTGTTGGTTGGTTGCCTAAGTGGCAGTAAGCTTCCGATTATCATAACTTTAATCGGTGATCGTACCTTGTCACAACTTATCATATTATGGTTGAAGGCCACCCAGTTTCTTTAAATACTTTACTTTCCCTGAATAAAACTGAGAAGATACAAGGGAAATAACAGTGAAATCAAATCAACAAAAGAAATAATGGTTTATTCTAGTCGATATTAAAATAAAATTGTCTCTAAAAATGGATAGCATATCCCCAGATACAAAATACTCCTCCAATATTCAAAATGATCGATTAAAATTGACTCAAAACTCTTATGCCCGGTTTCACGAAGGATGATTAAGGATAATTCAATGATTAAAAATATTAGAATGTTAGCCACCTTCACGAACTTATAAATTAAGATGGACTGCTAATGCTAAATTAACAAATGGCACCTACATGGGGGCCGCCATGATGTGCACTCACTTGGCGCGAAATTCAAATCAACTAATAAACAAGCATAAACCTCACGTTTTCTAAATAAATTACTGTGACACATGTCATTTTCCAAGGCTGCAATAGTCTCAAAACTTGAGCACTAGGAAAATTCTCCTAGAAAATAACTGAAATGTGCACATCATGGCGGCGCTCATGCTAGGGCCATTTCTACCTCTATGCAACTGTTTGATCAGCAGTTCATCTTAATTTATAAGTTCGTGGCCACCTTTGATTATATGCCCATTTGTTTCCCATTCTAATATTTTGAATCGGTGATTAACCTTAATCATTGTTTGTGAAACTGAGCATTAGCCAATTAAACATCCAAAACCCCCCAATTCAACAATGATCGCATACAAATTACAGGGCAGAATACACAAAAGTCTCCCCACACAATATGACAACACTTAATAATTGTTTCGATATAGAAAACGCAAAGAAAAAGAGAAATCTTACCTGTGGGTAAATGGCTGAAGGAGCTCTCCACGTTGACGTTGCAATGATCACCTAAAACAAATCAAAAGAGAAAGGAAATCCACGCATCTAACCTGTGTGTCTACAGGTGATAGAAAAGCTTCTTATTTAATATACAATCCACCTTAAGGAAATTGACACACCATTTGCTGAGAATGAATGGAATTTCCCAATCCCAGCGCGTCAAATTTGCGTGAATAAACTTTGTATCGATAGGTGGAGCCCTCTTATCAAACTGCTTTAGATGCTACAGGGGTTCTCCAACAAGTAATAATACCTCGATTCTGCCCACAATCTTTGTAGCTCTTCCTTTTATGCCTAAGCCTATGCATACCAAATTTGGTTCCAATTGGTTTAGCTGGAAATGCGAGTACAGACAGACAGATCGACCGACATCATCAATATTTTGTTTGATTCGGATTCCTGGTGCTCTAAAACGTGTATTTCTTTTAAAAAAGTAGAGGATCGTTTTTTACCCCAATGTAATACTTCCCTTATTAACGTGCTGGTAAAAACGCCAAAGGTAATGTGTTGGTGGGCCCAAGGATTGAACCCGGCACCATCCTCTTGTAGGCTAGTGTCCTTGTGTTCATATCAATCATTCGTTTAGTCTCAAGTTATGTTTTGATGAAATCACCCTGCAGAAAATTGTCTCCATCTTAGTAAAAATAAATAAGTAGTCACTACTCCAGGTAATTGTACATTTGTTGTACCTTATTAATTTTATGAATCAAATAATAATAATAATAAATTGTTACAGCATCCTCAAATGGACAGATGATTCAGCAGCCCACCGTTATAGTTGCTAAAAGACAGAAATCGAAGAGGCCAAGTAAGATGGGTCACAATGGACCTTTAGATCCGGCAAGTCCAGAAATAGAAGGTGCAAACACTGGAGGGAGTATAAGACGTAAACCTAGTATAAAGAAATGTCAGAAAAAGGGCATAAATAGCGTAAACCACACTGAAATTCCGCACAGCATCGATTCTGTCAATTCCACACTTAGTCCTGTGGAATCACCCATGACCAATAATTCGCTGCCCAGCCCTTACGATACGGGTTCGATTTATTCCAACATGGGAATGGCGTCTGCCTTAGAAGGATTAATAAGTAATAAACAACCACCAAGTTATGAAGATGTCATAAAAACCAATCAGTCCATTCATAATCTTCTAAACTTGGAAAATTATGGGCCTTTCACACTATCAAATTTCCAAGATCAGCTAATCTTACAAAGGCAGTTACAACCAAATACGCTTAGTCCTCCTTACTCCAACCAATCGCCACCCCATTCGGTTCAATCAAACATGTCATTGTCACCTCAAGCATATAACGGATCTCCTTCGCCTGCAAAATCGCGTCCGTCTTTACCGACAAGCCCGACCCACATAGCTGCAATGAGAGCCGCCACCCAGCAAAAGCACGGCGGAGTGCCACAAACTCAAAATCTCCCGATGGGTTTCGATTTTAGCCAAGCGGGACTCGAGTTATCCCTAGCGTACACGTCCGCGCAGCCGCACAGCGTCACGCCGCCCACGTTGCATCCGCAGCAGTTTCAACAGAATTACTTTCTAACGCCTCCATCTCAACATTCCGATATTACTCCGCAGCATTTAGGACCGGACAACTTCCCCACGCCCAGTCCGGAAAGTCCGGGCCACTGGTCGTCGAGCTCTCCCCACTCGTGTGTATCCGATTGGTCGGAAAATATCACCAGCCCGAATACATACCACACCTCCGGACATCAGACAAATAAAGGTGTCGACGCCGTTTATATTTGAGAGTCGAGGACACTAAAGTCCTGTTTAGGTTAAGCTATTCCCCTAACATGACATATTCTAAGATCTCATTTGCATTTCGAAAATAGTATATCGGAAAAACTGTCGAATGGCGGCAAATGTACCGTGTACATTTGCGTAGTAGAATATGTTTGGTAATGGCAATATTAACCTTAACCAGAATGACGCCAATGTTTTAAATAAAAATTTATTTGTAACTTATCACGTGCCTTGACACTTGTTAAAAATGTTGTAATTTTAATGTAATATGTATTTACAAAATGCCCTGTAAATAGTTATTTTAATATTGTTAGCTATATCTCTTTTTAATGCAAGATACTGGTTTTATATAGTTAAGAGGTAGAATACACTATCGCCAAAATTTCAAAAATCAACTACAAAAGTGTCTTACATGTCTGTGATTTTTAAGTAATTTATGTTTTTAACATCCTTGCTAAAGGTAACAGTAGCTTTATAAGTTTTAATTTAAATAGCCACTGTCTTGTAGGTGGCCACTGATAAGGTTAAAGGTGGTGGTATCTGGTATTCTAAATTTTATGCTAAAGATTTATCACAAACAGACAGTTATATAACTGAATGTTAAAAATTAGGAATTTAAAATATCGTTTGAGAAATTGTGTTAAATTAAAATGTCTTTGGCAGAATACCACCACCTTTAACCTTATCCGTGTGACCGCCTACAAGAAAGTAGACATATACAAGTAGATTTTCATTATTGTACATTCACAAAAATCATTTGAAAAATTTTAGTACGTTTTTTATTGTAAAAAGTACTGATTTTAGGTAACTTCTTTTAATTAGTCTTACACTCTTATTATTTACATTTAAGTTTTAATCATTTAGTTTACATGTCGCATGCTTACAGAGTAAACGAGAATATTTTACTTGTAGACTTAGTTAATATTACATCCGTGTACTATATACTTTGGATAAATAAACTGATTTTATAGATTTCTTTGCTTTAGTTCCTTTAAAGTAGCTATTTTATCTTTAACATCCCATGCCTTCTTTTTACTAAGAGCTCATTATCCTTCATAACAAAAGGATGTGTTTTTCTGTAAAAAAAAAGCGATATTTACGATTAAGATTTTACCACGTCCAGTAGAAGTATGGCAAGATAGAATGACAGAATGCTTTTATTTTAATTTATTTAAGCTACAACAATAAATTCTCGTTTAAATATTGAAATTTGCTCAATGGGATAATACTTGTGCCACGCAGTCGTAAACTGTAGGCATGGGAGAGGACAATCTTTTATGCAAATTCAAGGCTATTCAATTATTCTTATTCTTTTTATTTTCCTCTTTCCATCTTAGATCATGCATAATACGTATATGCTTTCCATAGAGTAATATGAGCTGTCAAATGTATAATAAATAGATCTACAAATTTAAATAAAACAATACTGTAACAATAGGAACACAGTCAAAATGAAGAACATAGATATTCGGCTATTTGAATAAAAAGGATGATTAACGATGAGGCCATTTGCCATATATCAAAAATTTTGTTGATTGAGGTTTCCTGTTCTTGTAGGTCGTGGGGCAGATGATTAAATAGTTTTAGGCTCACGTATTTTGGACAGTGTTGCGCCATGTGGGAATTAACTGACTCCATATCAGGAAAAAGTCACCCTTAGTAGGTGTGATCTGAAGCAATTATCATAATATTCATCAATTCAACAAAATGGAAACGCATAAAGCTCACTCCTCGTCTCCAAGAGATCATAGAAAACAAAATCTATCTTGGGTTAGGTCTATGTACATAGAAAAGAGTACATAAGCAAATTCAGAAACTACTTAGTAAAAAGCGCCCGAGAAAGCCAACTTAAAACGCTTCTAGAGACCGGGTGTTCAACAAACTTCACAAATATACAGTGTGGTCATAACTTCGGGTATGAAACTTCAAGGCGGAAAACGGGTCCTTCGTTACAAAATTTGGAATTCCAACCTTTCTTAAAACTGACAATGGACCACAATTTCAATGTGTAGAGTTCAAGAAATTTTGCGTAAATTATAACATTAAATTAGTTCAATTAACATTCATGTGGGCACGTCCCCCACTATAGCATAATAAGGTATACTTTTAAAGTATACCTTATACTTTATAGCATAGGTGGTAATTTACCGCCTCTACGGTTTTGTCATATTTTTACTGTATTGTGACCTACAGGGTGGCCATTTGAAAACGAAACAGAGCCTATTTTGGGGACCTCAAAACATTTACGAAAAAATCCTGGGACCCGTCAATTTTTCATCCAAGGGGGAACTATTTTTTGCTAGTTTCGCCCCCCTGAGGGCAAAGCCATAGCGGGGGTGACAACTGCCCCCAAAATTTTAAATCGAATGGGGGGTCGAGTGATACCTTATTTTGAAGGTATTTTTATGTAGATTATAACTCATTTTAATCAATTTTATTTTAAGTGCTTAAAGCTAAAATCAATCAAGTAAATATTAAAAATGTTGGCCTTCGACTTCCATACAATAATACAGGTTTTGTTCAAACCTCTCCCGTACATTTTCAAAAACTTCTGGGGTGATTTGACGACATTCATCAATTATTCTTTGTCGCAAGTTCTCTAGCGATGTTGACTGACTAGTATAAATTTTAATTTTTAAATGTCACCATTAAAAAAATCTAACGGAAAGTCCGGGGAACGAGGAGGCCATTCGCTCCTCTTCTTCTTTCAATCCATTGTCCTGGAAACGTTTGGTCCAAATATTGACGAACCCTTGCAGCATAGTGGGGTGGCGCACCATCTTGCTGAAATACTAGACGATTTTTCAAGTACCTACTCGTTATTTTCTAGTATCTGCACTAATGCTGGATGAATTGTATTTTCTCATAACTCCAGGTACATCTCTCCTGTTAGATTGCCAGGTACAAAGAAGGGGCCTACGATATGGTTACCAAAAATGCCAGCCCAAACATTCAATTTTTCGGGACATTGTGTATGCACCTCACGAAATATTCTGGGATTTGAATCAGCCCAATAGCGACAGTTGTGACGATTCACAGTACCGTTTAGGAAAAAGGAACATTCGTCATAGCCACCTACAGATATTAAAAAGAAAAAAAAAGAACAAAAAAAAGTACAGTTCAGAATGTACGATAACAACATTTTTTGTATTTATTGTTGTATTAATTGTTGTTATTTAACTAATTAATTTACAAGCATATTTTTTCATAAGAAAATGTTGACACGTTTTTAACTTTTATTAGCCCCTGTATCGGCTAGGCAAATTAGGAGCGGTCGTCACCCCCGTTAGGGCTTTGTCCTTAGCTACCAAAAAAATTGTTCTCCTTTGAATCAAAAATTGACGGGTCCGAGGATTTTTTCGTTAATGTTTTGAGGTTCCCAAAATAGGCTCTGTTTCGTTTTCAAATGGCCACCCTGTATAATGGTTGCAATAGCCATGGTATTGCAGTAGAGGCCTATAGGAGCAGGAACAATTTGTTTATTATCTCGAGACAAACGACCGGTCTTGTGATAAGCCTAGTTACGAAGATTTTTTGGAATGCGCTACAGCACTTGGAACGAGAACTACAAATGCATGGCGTTACCAAGTTAGCATTTCTAAAGTGGACTGGCGCATTGTGCGCAATATGCTGGAAGCGGTATTCCGGGGTACCGGAGTAGAATTATTGGTTTGTTCTCCAGAGGAACCCCGCAACCGATTTGTAAGACGATGGATTGCTTTTTCTTCAAGAATGGAAGATGAAGGAGGAGGTCGTCGTGCTAGTACTGCCACAAGTTCGCGTTACGGAACCCGAGTTGTCTAAGACTGTGTCTCCGCTACAACGGTCAGCCGACGCAACAGTTTTAAGGGGGGGGAAGTGTAGCGAATATTCCAGAAATCCCGATAGACGTCGAGGCGCCATGAAAGATTAGTCATCGGCGATAAAGAGCGAAGGCGAATGTGATTCAATAACATCCCGATCTTTCTAGA